GCAGTATTTGCGTGAGTTTTCCTGTGTATGCATTTTAAGGTGCTCTTTTATTTTCATACTTAGCGCAACCCTGCCAGGTTGTTGGATACTACACATAACCAAATTAGGTTAACTCTAATATTAACAGCTCGTTAGTAACATTCATTATTTATGATATTAATTTTGTAATTACATATTTTTTTGAACTACCGATAAAATATTCTATATCTATTTAAAAGATAATCTAATGCGTCCTAACCCTTTAGTATACAACACCTGCGCACAAAATAAAACTAACCCTACTGATTTTCAAAATGTCATTGTTTTACATTTCGTTGCACGATTTTGCACTACAGTAATTGCGGCACTGTATATTAAATAAATGTAAAATTGTAAATAAATAACGTTAACAAAATATAACAACAATTATAATGTCCGATAAAAATAAATACAATCATGTAATTCGAGTCGTAATAGTTTATTTTATTCAAAGCAAACGTTCCATAAAATTGACAAATTACTAAAAACAAATAAAAACAAACTATAAATAATACACAACGGGATGTTTTTACGATAAATTACATTAAGTATTTTTAGTAAAAAAAAAAAAAAAACGATAAATTCTATAAGGAATTTAGTTTAATTCCACGAATTACAATCTTTCGCTAAAAGCATAGAGCTTTTATGTGTATTAATTTTAAGTAGTAATGGTTATTGTTCGAGGCACGACATGGAATTCATGGTCCCTGCTTCTACTAACACCATGTTTTTACATCAGATACCATACCATCTTGCGATGTAAAAAAATACGCATATCCACCCGTTTTCATGTAACTTATAGTATGTTTTATAGTTTGTTAGATTGTATATATACCTTAAGGCAGAGGTACTCAAACTTTTTCATCCCGCGGCTCCTTTGTGTGCTCACAATATTTTACTTCTTCCAAATTATTATGAAAAATTGAAACAATACGGATACAATATTATAGCCAATATGTGTGGTAATAAGTAATAACAGTGACTTTAGTACTACTAGAAACAAAACTTAAAATAGTCGGGCAATGAGTGTTTCATTATATTAAAGATTATAGATATATTAGATTATAGATGTATTAGATTATAAATAATATTTATGTCAATTATACTTGACCTACATTAATTTTGGTTTTCAGTGCTTTGACCCGGCTCCCTTCCACAACTCTCGCGACGCCCCTGGGACCCGCGACGCGCAGTTCGAATATCTCTGCCTTAAGGTATAATAATTACCAATAACATACTATAAATAATTTTTTTTATATTCAAAATTGTAAGCAAACCCTTCAAATGTCTCTATAATAGCATATTAGGATAGTTATCATTTGTGTCAAAAATATAATATTATCAACATTTGATTTTTTCAGTCCGGACTAGATTGCATGCATCATGAAATGGTTGTTAACAAACAAAATATAGTTATCAATGTTCATCAATATTAAGATAACGTCCTTACTTCTCCATCTTAATCTCTGTATTTCATATTTCTAAATTCTTTCATGCACAAAAAAACCCACTCTTATTTGTTTATTGTGCAATTTACACGATCATTATTAACTTCAAAATACGTATTGTTTAATCATATTTTGTCTTTATATTTTCTAAGTCTGTTAAGAAACGGGTCACTACGTGTAAGTTGACATCCCATCAAGACACATTACGCCAACTTGAAATAGGTGATGACAAGTGATGACTGAAACTAAAAATTCATTGTTGCAATAAAATTATAAATTAATTTTACTGTACTGAGAAATATTGTATTTTTCACAAAAATTTGATGTAGTTTCAACTTTTATTTAAAAAAAAAATGTAATCAGTTATACTTAGTAGTAACGGTTTATTCCAGTTGAATAACTCTTAAGTTAATTTGTTCCTTATAATTTATTAGTTGACAATGATGGGACGGTAACTGGATTTATGGGAAAAACGTAAATTGTTTAATGATCAAATAACAGTCTTATAAATTCATTAAAATTTAAAAAATAAATATTATATTTTCTGGTACAAGATGGAAAAATGTAATAATAAAATACGAGAGAAACATATTATTATTCCATTAATATTATTATTTCGAGTAGGTTCTATAGAATTCTCTCAGAATAATGTAAATTAATGACTTTGAAAAATAAATATACGAAACATTTGTTACGCGAACAAATATTATATGCGTTTTTATAATAATTGTATTCTCTAATGGCCCAAGTAGAGTGAATGCACCAATCTAATTCAAAAACCTAACTAATAATCACAGACTTCGTTATATATATATTACGTATACATTATGTATTACCAAGTATGCTAATAGCTCTTTACTCACCCACGCTGTAATCCTTAATAAAATTAGGTGTGCACTTGTTCAAATTCTTATATTTGTAATTTTTAATTATAATTTATAACTAGGTATTCGCAGTAAATATGTTCATATATCTGGATTTAATTAAATTTGCTTTAATATATTGACAATAATATTTTTCAATGAGAACCCCTTTTATACTGTGAACTTTCAAGCAGTTATTTTTTGAGATAATTTTAGTTTAATTTAAATGTTTGAAATAATATATCTAAATCAAAATTTTGACAAGTATATAGTTTCTAACTTATTAAACTGAATGAACTAAAAATAACAACCCATAGCCATATTATACCTAGATGTTATGGGGACGATTCATAAAATATTATATATTATAGACTAAGTGATAACAGTAACTACGTCCTTCACATTATAAAAAAAAACTTTTTTGTACAAATATTAAAATATCAATATAATATTAGATAGTATTATAATAACTTATGGTTTTTAAATTTTTAAATTTTTAAATCAAATTATAGTCCTCGTATAACTAACATAATAATATTATTATCATGGGCCGTTTTCCTTAGTCAAAAAAGTTCAATAAGTAACAACTTTCAAATTGCTCTAACAAATATGTTTGATTTGGATACATGTGTATAGTGTATTGCTGACCTGAGGTGCCGCTAGCCCAGCAGCAGTTGTCCCGAGATTTCCATAGAGGCAAGTCCATATAAGCAGTCAATTGCGGAGAGAAGTTTGCAGCCAAAGTTTCAAGAGGTCCCCGTAGAGCGCACTAATGGTGGTAAATATTTGGAAACATATTGTGTAGTAAAACATCCAAATTTATGTATAAACATAATAATATATTATATATAGATACACAAACAGCGTGTCCGTCGTGTGTTTTCCTGTTTTCCCATTTAACTCAAACACGGAAAAATGGTAAATCGCGACCCCTCCCCCCTGTTTACAGTATACAATAATATGATATTTATGTACATATTATATATGTGTATTATGAACAAAGAGTATATCCAACCTCTCTGTGTACGGTGTATATATTATGACGTACCTATAAAATAAAGGTACCTACTGTTAAAACATTTATTATTTTTCTTTTTTCTTTTTTCTCTTTTTTTTTTACACAGTGCGTAGGTAATATTTACGATGATGTATATACATTTGAGCTTGTGTTTAAACATACTGTGTTTACGTTGTAATAATAATATGTTCGAATGTATTTTTTCCGCCTTTAATAACTTAATGGTGCCTCGCTTCGTGGAATTATACGAACGCATGGTATTTATTTTCCCATTTTTCTTCATCATTTAAGATCACAATTTGCTTTCGTAATAATATTATAAATACCTACATCGATAAATGCATTATGCACTCTAGAAAACATTTTTAAACAAAGAAAATGAAATGTTAATTTTATGGTAAATTTAATTGTTCCGAACATAAAAATTATTTTAATTCTGTACTTCATTTGTCGGAACTAATAAGTTAATTTACTCAGTAATTAAAAAAAACGAATGACTTAAACCGTTTGTAAAATAGAAACTATTTGAGTTATTGTTATTAATATTACCAATACAAATCTTATAAAATAATAAATAATAATTTAATTTTAGGTATTATATAAAGTTTAAATAATTCATTAAAGCTCGTCCAGACGTAGCGGCAAATACGCGTCCACACGGTGCTGCATTTATCTCTCGATTATCTTAAAGTAGACAATAGTTTGATCTAGATCAGTTGGTGCCAAAATGTCATCGGAAGAGGATGTCGTTTATGCGCTTGCGTTGTTGTATGCGTACAAAAATCATACGAAAACGTGGAAAAAAATGCTGGGTTTTCCCAAGTTTGCAGAGCAGAAAAGTTGCAAATGGATTATCACGATTATTAAACGAATTAAGAGAAGATGAAAAATTAAATTTTGAATTACAAGGTTCATGAAATTTTTTTTATAGAATGTGAAGTTCAAATTTTTAATACATATTGTGCAAAATACAGCCAATAATAAAAAAAATCTAATACTTTTATAAGGCGAGCTATACTTGTGTCTCTCGGATACGCTAAGATTTTCAGCTTCCGATGATTCACAGGTATATGAGCTTATTATATTTACTTAAAATGTCTAAACAACCAATTTCAGAAATTGTTTCCGAAGTTTGTACTGCTATCACTGATGTATTGTTATAATTTATTAAAGTAAGTCAAATATATAATTAATTATATTTTAATAAATAATCAGATAATAAACAAGAGCAAACTCAGTGTACACGTACTATAGCTACAATGAAAACCTAATCTAAATTTAAATGTACCTTGTATTTTATTATTGTCTAAAAACACATTTTAAAAGGTAAACTTTAAACATAACTACAAGTTATGGCTATAATGAGCTATGAGCTTTGAGTAATATACATGTTAGATTCTGATGCAATGGTTTTATAATGATGTGTGTTTTTTATTTTTGTTTGTCATCAATTTACAATTTAACAGTCACGAACCCAGAATTTTTGCTTGGGGGGGGGGGGCTTAATAATTTTTCTTTTTCCCTTACACACAAGTAAACAATTAAAACTAATTTTTAAATAACTACTTTTGTTTATTATTATCATATGTTATATTATTATGTATTTAATATTTATATAATTATATTTATAACTAAATATTATGACAAATGATTTTAAAATTTAAGTTTCCTGGGTCCCTTTTCAGAAAGAATTTTTAATACTTCGGATTCTTTAATTTGTATTTCTCGATGTATGTGGAGATTTGCCAGGCCATTTAAACGTGACTGTCCCATTGTGTTCCGGAGATAGGTTTTAATTCGCCGTAGTGTGGAAAATGACCTCTCAGCCGTACTTGTACTTACTGGTGACGTTGCAAATATTTTCAAAAGTATAAATACTGATTCAAATATTTTAATATCACATAAATTTAAACCATCAATTGCGTTTAGCGGTAAAGTATAACCACAGTTTTTAAATTGTTCATACCACAATTCGAATTCGGCCTTAGCGACAAAAAAACTAATTTGTTGCATATCTTTTTCGTAAAAGTCAAAAAGATTTTTAAAACTTGAAATTTGTTCATCTGTTGGATTACGTCCGATTGGTAAAAGACATTTATAACTTGTTAGGAGATTTTCATGTTTTGAAAATCGATCAGAAAGACTATTAAGAAATGAATCGACCTATGGAATAAAAATTGAACGTCTACAGTATTCTTCAATATTTTCAGATGGTGTATTACATCGCTTAGTTTGGTGTTTTGTTAGTCTAGGTACAGACATAGTCAAGTCTAAATTAGAGGCAACTTCTTGTGATTCTAAAAATAATTGTTTAAATTCATTGTCGGCATTACTTCATGATGTCTTCGGAGAATAGACACTATACTTTCTACTTGGTTAACTGCAGCTCTGATAGATCTATATCTGTCGTATGAAGTATTTTACTTATTGGTAAAGTATAAGCTAATAATTTTTCTGAACAAAGTAATGAAATAATAAATGTAGATTGACAAATACCATTTAAAAGTAAAAATGCACCTGATAAAGAGTCTTTACAGTTCCACGATTGAATTTCTTCTAACGCCGCCACTACAGGTAATAAAAGTTGATTAAATACTATTATTGAATCGTGTCGTTCAACCCATCTAGTTCGACATAGTTGAACAAGTTTAGTTTTATTAATATCAGGAACTAAGAGTTGAATTTGATTTTTTAAAATAATTTGACGTTTTGGTGTATTAAAAAACGTGTATACTTTTTCTATAACACCAAAACTATTCCTAATAGGTACTAAATCAACAGCATTAGATAAAGCCAAATTTAAGCTGTGTGAAACACAATGTACATAGAGTGGATATTTTTCTATTATACGCTCTTGGACATCTTTAAATTTACCACTCATCGCTGCAGCCCCATCGTAGCCTTGTCCGCGTAAATAATTTATATTAATGCCACATGAATTCAATGTTGTTAAAAGTACATCTGCTAAATTTTGACTTGAAGTTGATTCTACTGGTACAAATTTTAAAAAATTTTCAACTATTTTAAAATTGTTTACATTTGTTGATTCAATTTATCTTATACACAATGCGAATTGTTCAATAGAGGAAATATCAGATGTTTTGTCAGCGAGTATAGTAAAACATTTAGCGTTGTTAATTTTAGTTACAAGTTTTGTTAAAATTACTTCATCGCAAGCATCTATTATTTGCTTTTGAATATTCCAACTAATATACGTTGAATTTTTTCCGCAAGTCATTAAATGTTGTTTTAAATTTGTGTCTCCTGAATCAATTCATGCTATAAGTAACGCTCGAAAATTACCTTCGTTGCATTCGGGCTCTTGATCTATATTAAACGTTCCGTAATCTCGATGTGCCCTAAGTGGTAGACATTGTCGTCCACACAAAATAACTGTGTAATATTATAATAATTATTTTAAGCATAAAATATATTATAAGATCATATGTAAAATTAATATAAAAATATAATATTTATGATAATATTATTATAACAGTATTTTACTTTAGAGTCTGTAAATTGCAAAGCTGACTTATTTTTTTAAAATAAATTATTATACTTAAAATAACAAATATCACTAATTTTACTAAACATTTAAAACCACTTGAATGTTATATCACAAAGCATGTTTTTCAAATTGTGTTAAACTATTATGTACAGTATTTTATAGAAAAACAATAATTATTCAGCCATCATAAGATCTAACGCTGCATACTTTATGAAAAACCAATATTGGAAGACGATCAAATAATACAATACAATTTTCAACATTAAAATAAAAATGTTGATAAGTTAAGCGAAAAAATATAGCAATTATAATTGAATGCTATAGAAAAATAATTGTCTCGTTTTGTAATAACATTTTAATGTTTGATGCGTTAACAAAATAAATAATAATATTTTCCGGTCGTTGGAGATGATTGCGTTCCGTATAAAATGTATTAAGATGACTATAATATTATACGTCATTAATATTACGCTATTATAAAACGAATGACGGTGAGTTTTTAAGTCAAGAAAGACGATAATATAATAATATATACTGCATTCATAATAATATTTAATCTACTTTATTTTTTAATAAATGGATTATAAACATGATCTTTTTTATATCATCGAACTGAATAATTGGTACATCTGAGAGTTCATACTTTGAGCTGCAGCGTTCACGCGCAATTAAAGAATCTGTGGGGAGAATATTGGATATAAAATTGAGTTGCATAATAAAACTACACCATCGATATGATGTTATAATATACAATTTAAGTATTGTAGTTGGGTGAGGTATTTTTAAAATTTTTTTTTTAATAATTAAATTTGATTGTATTCTAGAGGATGGCATAGCGCCTCTGCTTAGAATCGTTATTCGTATGCGATGGTTTATCATCGAATTGAAAATATATAACACATCCATAACTACGACATACTCTAAAACTACAGTGCAGCAGAGCGGTCCACCCTTTTTAGTATTATTTTGAATTTTATATTTGATTTCTTAAGATAATGACACCTCATTATTGTTTTCTAGACTTCCTTCAGATCCACACTTCAAACACCAAATTTATGCTTGGAAGAATTAACTCTGTATAATTGTCATTAGAGTTAGTTTATCATAAATATAACAAAAAATATGGGTACATTTGAAAAAAAAAATGTAAATACGACAAGTAGAAATATCCATAAGACATTAAAAAAAAACCCTGGAAATATGCTGAAATACCTATGTCAAATATAAAATGTTGTACATTCCATATTACATATTAAAACATTATTTTATAATACTCCTCTCCTATGTTGTATCAATGCTTTAATCGCTGTGAGTATAGACCTCGATAATATTAATATTAATAATAATAATACCATTCCGTTTACATTTAATACAAATGTGCAGCTGGATTAATAATTCATATTTGTCCTGTCGATGTATGTATACAGTATAAAATATATAGTATTATAATAATAATATTATTAGAGGTACATTTATACGTCATACACGAATTTAATGAAAATAGCACGATATATTATCATCAATAATAATGTAAATACCTGATATTAATTATTAACTGAAAACATTCGTTCGTTCGGTACTCGTCGTTTATCACTTGAATAATATAATATATAATGTATTAATGTGTGCAATGTGCACGAGGACAGAGCTACATTCACCCGTATGAATTATGACGGTTAATAGTGTCGTCGAAATTATAATATTCTATATAGAATTAATGTTTTTTTATATCCAATACAACGCAATCGAGCATATAACATAATATTTTTTAGTGATGACGTTGCCCTTAATAACAATACTGACGACGCTAGTACAGTCATTGTCAATTTAGATATTTTAATTTAATCACTTTTTAGAATGTATGGTTATTTTTTTAAATTTTGACCTATACGCATGTGGTACATACAACCAATGCTACCGAAAGTTTTCGTCGTTCTATAATGCAAAATATTCTAGCTGTGGGTTAGATGCACTCCAAAGTCATATATCCATAGATGCATTTAAGTTTAATCGAAACATAAGCATCAACTTAACATAAGCTCAAAAAGGGGGAAAGTAGTTGGTAACCACTTTGCAGCTGTACAGTGTTGGGAGTTAAACGTATCTCGTCATTGACGAGTAAGTCATTGTAATGAACGTCATCAATTTGAATTAAATGATAAATCATATTGCATATTAAAAAGGATTCTGAGCGAAGACTATTATATTATACTACTAAGCATAATATTATTTTATGATATATTTATATTGCTATTATATCAATTTATTATTAGTAGTAACTAGGTATAGTAACACGCTTACACGCGTCGCAGGTTAAATTAGTTTTTGACAAAAACATTGAGTTTTTAAATGTCATTGTGCGTATAAAATGTCATAATACACCACAAGTGTCAAAATGATCATTAAATTTAACTTTTAAATCATTATTTATTTTTACTTTGATCATGATCGTGAACAGTGAACTGTGCATGGTCAATGGCAACATTTCCATTGATCACTTCTGTTTTGTTACGCCAGCGTGCCACGTGATTCATTCTTTAATAGCCCTATTATTTAATCAGAAATCACCACAACATTTGTACCAGGAACTCAGTATATCCAATTCGTTTTAGTTCGGTCTAATAGTCGATTTTGTTATGTGCATAACAATCATTATACCATAATAATTTATTGTTATCACCAGAAAGTGCTTAATGTCATCAAGAAATAAGTATTAATTTAGACAATTTTTTGTACAAGAGACAGGTCGGACAGTTATGCATATCATCGATACACATACAAATAGCGAAGGGACTTAGTGGGAGAACTAAGATCAGCTAATTCTCTCAAAAAATGTTGGCTATTTATGCCCTGGCATGCACAAAAGGTTGGCAACCTGTTTGTGTACAGCCTCTCGCTACGTATATTTTTGAGAGATAGCAAAGACTAAACAATTAACACATACGTAGAGCCGTAGAGGGATACCTAAATACATATGTATATTACCTATTAGATACTATATGGAGGCCCAAAACTAGCCCTTACCCTAGCCCGCTAATTAAAAGGTGGTAAATCCCCACCCTACTCCTCCACCCCAAATTATTCCACTTTGGTTTATAGGTTAGCGTAGTTTATAATAGATGCACGCTTTATCGAGTGGAGTAAACACTAATATTTACATTTTAAACTAACTGCGCATCTATTATTAGGTATCAATCATTAGTTACGGAATTGATGCTTACTCGCCAAACACGTTATTATTGCCTTGGTGGAAATAAATGTGGTTGAAAGTTGTAGGTAACCTGATAGGTTATAACCAGGTCTGAGATTTGGACGGACTTTGCATTGTTTTCAAAAACTAGCTACGCGATGCTCGTTTTTACATCATGATGAAAACACGACTTGCTCGTGTTGCCAAGATAAAAGAGACCCATCTACTTGTGTGCTAGGAATTCACGAACAACTGTTCCAAAACGGACATGAAACAAGCAAATTAAAATACCACTGTCGTAGTCCAATACTGGGCGTAGACTGAATAAACTACTACAACTATACTACCAACACTACTATGAAGTTACTCGAGCATATTTTAATTTATAATATTTTTAATTACTCATATAGATACTATTCACAATTGGTTTATATTATTTAATTAATTACTATTCTTCTAATATTTTACTCGAACTCTAAAAAAATATTTCATATTTCATATTTGATCTGCTGTTTTTTGAAACAGTTTCCAGACACACGAAAGACATCAAGAGATTTAGCTGATGCTATACGATGCTAATTACTATGGTACGGAGACCCAAACCCATAGACATCTGGAGGACGGCTTTCTTGAATGCAATTTAAAATTAATAACTGGAGTAATGAAACGAACAAAGCATAATTCAGTTTATTAGCTTGTATACTAGAATATCGTAACATGACCTATAAAATAGTTATTATTAATTTAACAGTTAACAATGTTTGTAAGACGGCATCCTGTGTATGCAATTTTAATACAATCAACGATTAAAAAGACTACTTTCTATTATAATATTTTTACTTATTAGTAATAACTAATAATATTATAAATTATAATATTACTTATCTTGTGCAATTTGAAACGTCTATGATTGATAGTTCCTCATATTATAACAATAAATAAATATATAAATGTATGACCTGGAGTAGGTCTAATGTATAATAAAATATAATATTATCTAAATAATTATTTGTTGGTAGATTGTAAAATTATAATATTTAGAATTCAAACGTTTGCTAAAATATTATTAAGCTCTAAAATTGTATAAGAAAATATATTAATATATTTCAAATATTTCAAATATTCTGTCTATAAATATTATTATGAGTTATTTATTTAAAATTATGTTACTTCAACGGATATC